ATAAATTGTAGCTCGGCGTAGTGATACATCCAACATTTGTCAGTGATGCTCGCCAATGACTTGAACAGATGTAATAATTTGGATGCTTTGTTTTTTCCTCAGATGCTATGTGACTTTGTGCAGCGATGCAGTGATGCATCTGACTTTGTGCAGCGATACAGTGATGCATGTGACTTCGTGCAGTGATGCATGTCACTTTATGCAGTGATGCAGTAATGCATGTGACTTTCTGACTTTGCAACCACATGGCACATCAATATGACCACATGGCAATAGTGTTGATAAACAATTATGTGATGGACTGAAGGAGTAAAGTGTAATTTACAGAATATAAAAAGAAGCAAAAAATGCAAAGATGGGAAAATGGGATGACTGTGAAGTTCATTAAGTGAAAATAAGATAAAATATAGGCTGTTTATGAATAATATTACTTTAAAACAAAGAAAATTTAAGCATTTAATTTCATTTATAATTTGTTGAAAACACCAATTTGTACCGAAATTGTCAATTCCAAGTGACTACTTACTGTATTAAAAAAGTAAGCATGAAAAAATAGTTTCATGTGGCAATGTGACAACTCACTGCATGTTGTTTTATTTGACAACTCACTGCTCCAATATGAAGGGATTGCATTGTCATCCTCTAGCCTACAATTATGATTTTATCTGACAACCACGTCCGTGACTACACATTAACCGCTCGGGCATCGACCCAGGAAGAATCCATTTTAGGCTTATTGGTAATCCATGATCAACTTCCTTTCGTAGTACCCTACCCCCAGGGGAAGTCGAATCCCATGTCATAATATCACGGGTATCACTTCTTCCATAGTGCCCCAGCATGCATTATCGTCACTAGATCATCTCTAGTTAACCCTCAGTATGATGTCTATAAATAGCGACACCCCCAGTATGATGTTTGTTCAAGTCATAACAATAGTATTATATCTACAATTACTATTATTATTTGTTTGTTTATTTTATGAACAATGTCTTCAAGAGGTGCAGGAAGTTCACGCCAGCAAAGAAATCCGAAAGTGTGACTGCTACCTCCATTTACTTATGACTACAAGAGCGAAAAGTACTCGAGTCCGAAGGATTATTATGCTGGTATCCGAGCAGAATGAGCGTTCAGGATAACAGAGCAAGAAGGATTGTTTAATGATCTACGTAACTTTGGGGCACCGATACCTCATCGTCATTCATTGACCATGGTTAGACGAAATGTGAGTGACTATGAAAAAGCAGTTAGCAGAATTAAGAAGGAGAACAATAGAATGTTGATGCGGAGATGTCGACATTTCATGCTTCAGCTAGCCACCGAAATGGAAAAAGCAAGCAACAGAGATTTGACAGTGATTGAGCGAAATAATGTCTTAAACAATGAAAAATATCTCTCTAACTACTACATGTCAGATGAGGAATAAGAAATCAAACACCTTTATCTTTCATATATGTTTGTATGTTGTCTCATATCTTCGTTACTGGAGTGTAAGACAATGAATGTTGTTGTTCATCTAACGTACGGATGTATTTCAAGTATTTGTTTTATGAACCTGAAGTTTATGAAATAACTACATTTATAACTGCACATTTATTAGTTCATGACTTTCTTTATTGAATTGCAATGAGTTAATAAATATTCTGGATTAATGAATGGATTAATGTATGTTGAATTATGTGAATACTTAAAACACATAAAACAGAACAGGTAGCTCGGTAAAAAGTTTCCCTTAACTGGGGCTCGTGAAATAGGGATCCTGTACGTAAAGAATTTCAATCTCCATCGGGAAAGAAGAAAGAGTCGCCTTCCAATTCCTGGAAGTCCAGTCAAAATGATGACTCTGGTAAGGAATGGAGGGTTGACAGATAACTAAACTTAGGGGGCTGGACAAACAAGTTCAAAGCCAAGTGGTTGGTCCAGTTGGGGAACTAAATAAAGTTCATACAAACGAACAACCGCCTTGAACAACACATAAAACAGAACAGGTAGCTCAATGAAAAGCTTCCCTTAACTGGGGCTCGTGAAATAGGGATCCTGTACGTAAAGAATTTCAATCTCCATCGGGAAAGAAGAAAGAGTCGCCTTCCAATTCCTGGAAGTCCAGTCAAAATGATGACTCTAGTACGGAATTTAAAACCCAATTGGTTTTACTTGATTTGCTTGTCAAAATCACTATTTACAATTAATTATACACAAACAGATTTACCTCAACACCAATTTGATATATGTGGGATTCTCAATTCAGAAAGTCACATGACAACAGTGAATTCACTGATTTACCTTACAGTGAGCATGCCCTTATTTTGTCGGTATATACAGATGGATTGTCAAGTCATGTGACTTGGTGCATAGGCTTTGGTTTTTTCGATTTTTTGCTCCATTTTTTTATTACAGTGACAACTCATTTATTATTAATATATGTGGGATTCTCAATTTAGAAAGTCACATGGCAATAGTGAATTCATTGATTTACCTTACAGTGAGCATGCCCTTACTTTGTTGGTATATGCAGATGGATTGTTAAGTCACGTAACTTGGTACACAATATTTCCTTTTCTCTGTTTTTTCATTCTAGTGACAACTCATACCTTGTTTGTATATGTGGGATTGTCATGCAGGGCCATCTTTCTAAAGCTGTTCATAACCAACTATATAAACGACTAAAGGTGAAGACACAACCTTACAACTCATTTTGCCCTACGAAATAATCATTCATTTGTTTTAAAAAATTAGCATGGCTACATGGTTCATGGGAGGGAGTGGGAATCGCAGAGGTGGTAGGAACTTGCAAAGGGGTGACAGTTCACGACAAGGAGGGGGAATGGGAAGTTGCGATGCTGAAGATGAAACACCATTTACTTTGTTAGATGCCTCTTGTGCTTATCATGATAGGTTTGGGAAGCGACATTTTGTCATGCCCAAGTACTATCGAGATCCATGTGGTTTGGTGGAGGAACCATCAGATAATCAAACATGATATGGTTTAGCAAACGCTAGACTTCTGAAGTGGCCCGCACTATTTATAGAGCGAGTCCAAATGGAAAGATTATGTTGGGAAAATCGATTGAAGGTGCCAAAAGCATGTTCTGTTGAGATCCAAAAGAAAGATCCTGATAATGTTGATCGACTATGTGAAAGATTACAACGTGAGATTTCTCAAATGAGCCATAGGTTAGCCCGCGATATGCAGCTATACATAGTTAAGAAGGTTGCCCAGAAGAACAAAACAGAACCAAATGATGCGGCTATCAAGGGTATCATGGAGGATCCTGAGCTTGTCTCTGACGCTGAGCTTTCGGATTATTCAGACTCTGAGCCACCTACCGATTTAAGTGGGAATTAGGTGTTAATGTCTACACTTCGGCAATATTAGGTCATGCATTAATATGTAATGTCTGTGTTAGAGTAAGTGTTTCCGTAATGAGTTTGTCAGATTGTCTGGCTAATATTTGTCTGTCTAACTGCTATGTTTATCTATGTATTGTGTGTTCAGTTCATGGTGTCCACAATGTATTGTTGTCCGAGACTTATGTCTGTACTACCTATGTATTTTTGTGGGAGACTTATGTGTTTTTTCCTCAAGGTTTTATGAATTACATTATCACCTTCTAACCCAAAATAAAGACAACAGAAAAAAACAAAATTATTTAAATGAAAACGACTTTAGTAAAGCCAAAACAAATTTCTGAATAACACATTCTAACCCAAAACAAAGACAAGAGAAAAAAAATAAATAAAAAACTTTATATGAAAACGACTTTAGTTAAGCGAAAAGAAATTTATGAATTACATTATCACCTTCTAACCCAAAACAAAGACAACAGAAAAAAGAAAATTATTTACATGAAAACGGCTTTAGTAAAGCCAAAACAAATTTCTGAATAACACATTCTACCCCAAAACAAAGACAAGAGAAAAAAATAAAAAATAAAAAACTTTACATGAAAACGGCTTTAGTAAAGCGAAAAGAAATTTATGAATTATATTATCACCTTCTAACCCAAAACAAAGATAAAAGAAAAAATATATATATTTAAATGAAAACGGCTTTATTAAAGCCCAAACAAATTACTGAATAACACCTTCTAATCCAAAACAAAGAAAAAATAAAATAAATTTTTTTTTTACATCAAAACGACTTTACTAAAGCTCAAAAAATTTATGAATTACATTATTACCTTCTAACCCAAAACAAACACAAGAAAAAACAAAATAAATTTACTTTAGTCAAGCCCAAAAAAAAATGCTGAATTACACATTCTAACCCAAAATAAAGACAAAAGAAAAGAAAAAAAAAATTAACATGAGAACGGTTTTAGTAAAACAATTTTAACCCAAAAAATTATTCTGAAATACATTATCACCAAAACAATGACAACAGAAACAAAAAAAAAAAACCAAAAAAAAAAAATTTCTTCTTCAGAGTTCAGTTAAATTGAAACTAAAAAAAAAATTTGCCAAAAAGCGTGGTTCAGAATCGCGCTTTCAGAAGAAAAAAAATTTAGGATAAAAGCGTGGTTCACAACCACGAGTTCAGAAGAAAAAATTTTGGCCAAAAAGCGTGGTTCAAAACCGCGCTTTTAGAAGAAAAAAAATTTAGGCTAAAAGCGTGGTTCGAAACAGCGAGTTCAGAAGAAATTTTTTTTTTCTCATAAAAGCGTGGTTTAGAACAGCGAGTTCAGAAGAAATTTATTTTTGGATAAAAGCGTGGTTTAGAACAGCTAGTTCAGAACCAAAAAAAATTAATTAAAAGCGCCTTTTGTAACTGCGATTTCTTAATCAAAAGCGCGTTTTGTAATCACGATTTTAAGACTTCCCAAATTCCACGCGAGACAGACGCATATATGTTGAAATCGTGGTTGTGAATCACGATTTAGCCTATTTTGAGAATTCTTTCAAAACTAGGATTAGTTTGGGAATTGATTTAGTATTTTGGCTTATTTAGGGAAATGCCCCAGAACATCGAAAGAGAAAGAGAGAGAAGGAAAGAATAGAGAGAGAGAGAGAGAGAGAGAGAGAGAGCTTACCTTCATCTTGTTAGAGGAATTTTGATGGAAAGCATAGAGGAAAGGCTAAGGTTAAAGAAAGAAAGAACAACAAAGAAGAAATGAGGAAAATTATCATGAGATTATCAATCAAGAACTTTAGGTAAGGATTACATGCTTGATTCTTGTAGATTAATTATCTAATAATTAAAATCAAGAAATGATTAGGCTTAATTTCATGTAATTGGAAAGAAATTAGGTTTAATTTGCATGTCATACAGGTAAATTAAGAGGATGAAGAAATTGAGTTAGGTTTAAAAACAAAAATTAAAGGAATTAAGAATTGGTTTGATTTTAGCTCTAAAATTTGTGAGATCTACAAAAATTTATTTCATTTTCAATTTGTGTCTACTTTGGTCTCATCATATGCACTAGAGTGACAGTTTGCTGAACCAAGTGATTTCTAAGAGAAATAGAGCTCCATCATTTGTTCTCACTTTACTCTCTCTCTATCTCTCTCCACTTTATTTGCGATGCCTATTTTGACCCTGCGTTTCATAGCTTCACTCAATTTCTTTGTTTAGGAGGTTAAGGTCTGTTCTTCTACACACTCTTCACTGTTTCTTTGATCTTAAATTCATGCTTGCTCTTTAATTTTAAGTGTTTGATGTGTTGTTTTCATAGATTCCGTATTTGGGTATGATTTGAATTTGGTTGTTTGATTTGAAGTTTTGTTCTTTGATTGCTTCTTGTATATGGAATAATTAAGAATTTATTATATCTTTTTGTGTGTTTTGTTTTTTTGGGTTTTTCATGAGATGTGATTTTGAAGACTATATGTTTGTGTTATATCTCAAGTTGTTATATCTCAAGTTGGAGTACTGATGATCTTGCTTTTGAAATGGCACTGGAAATTTTATATGGATGGTCAAACATGAAAGATGAATTTCAATAGTTACACTGGTAGGTGTATTATATCCATGTATTGGTGTTCCCCTCTATGAAAGAGGCAATGAATTTCGTAGAATATGACTGCCTCATTGCTGGTTGGCCCACGTAACCTGAAGAAAATCGGCCTATGAACATGACCCAAAATACTTAAGCCAAGTTATATAGTAGCATTGTTCCAAAAAAAAAAAAAAACAATTTATTTAAAGCAAACTGGTGGTGTCTTATATACCGAAGATCATTTATGCAAACTTCCAATGTGGGACAATGTTGTGCATCCACTTTTTATCCTTTTCTCATAGAAATATAGTGGACTGTGTGTGCATCCACTTTTTATGTGATATAATCCTATTTTGGGATTCTTTTAGTTAATATCATCATAGGAGGTGTTTATATCCTATTTATGTTTATAAAAGTGATTAACTTACTTATCCTGCATGAACCAATATGAAATTTACTTTACAATAGTAAACTTCATTATTTAACCATAGAGGAGAATCTGGACTATATTTTCTATTTATCAAAAATTTATGGTCTGCAATGAATCATATAGTATCTTGTTTTATTTATTTATCTAGATTGTTAAAAAAATGGTTTCTATATATTCAATATTAATTTAAGGTCAATGTCATTTGATATTTTCCTTTGTCTCCATTAGTACAGATTTTACATAAAAATTATGGTAGTCTAAAACATATAGTTGGATGGAGTCATTTCTACAATAAGCTAAAAGTAGAGTTGGTCTATGGAACTGGATGGATGGGCTGTTGGCTTGTTTCAATCCTTTGATTTCTCATGTATGAGCTCCTGATATATTGATATTACTAAGAAGATTCCTGCAAATTTCATTTGTATATGCTGTCAATGTGAAGATGGTATTAATATGCATTTCATTTGGTTCCTGAATTTCACAAAAGAAAGGCTTTTTTAAATTTTTTTTATCAGTCTTCAATATCGTAGATGATATTGGTAATCATGTCACTTCCCGTGTGCTTCTTGTTGGGATATGACTCAGGAAAACAAGTTTGCTAAATTAAAGAAAGGTTTCTTAATACTTTTTATGGTGCACTAATAAATCAACTAAAAGTATTTGGCTATATGTCTTCACTAATTTTGCAATTTTTCATGAATTATATTATACAACATTGCATCTTTCTATACTAGCTGCTCATTTTGATTTTTGACAATATCAGTGTGCTTATTCTTTCAAACAGTGGTTGCATTTGAAGCTCCAACTTTGGCAGTGGAAGCTGTTCTTCAGTCATTTCCTGATGTCTCTTTTTTGGAGAAAGCTACTTCAAAGGTTAATATAGAAGACATTTATTTTTGTACAATCCTTTGTTTTGGAAATCCAGTGTTTTTGTATGTAATATTTAATTTAGATGGATTATACTTGGTTGGTATGGATTTATATGATATTCGGAATATGATATTACAAGTTAAAGTTTTTAGATAGTTGATAATGAAATGGATATTATTGATAATGGATTTAGAATATAATTGATGGATGTATTATTTTGTATATATATATACAGGGGTTGCATTGATAATGGAATGCATATAATTTAGAAATTATTGAAAAATATTCAATTTGTGCAATTTAAAAAAATTAATAAATAGAGCTTTTGGAAACTAAAAAATTAGTAGCTAAAAAGGAGCACCATGATTTTAGCAATGTCACGTCTCGGATTTACAAGTTCTGGCCCACGTGAGTAAACCACCCAACGATAGATGATAACTAACAACATTCATGCAGATGTATATAATATAGGCAAATAATACATGTGTTATTCCAATTTTATACATTCTTAGATACAACATCTAAGTTGAATGGATGCTTTGTAATTAAAATATACAAAGATGTTATAATCAAATTAAAATGCCCAAAGGCTTACATCATGTACAAATGGTGTAACCCTTACAAGAATGACACATGGCCAACAATAACATACATGGCCTAGGGCTTACAAGTAAAGGAACCATCCTACACGGTTCCGAACACAACTTTACTGTCTCAGTCCACATCCACATAAGCATACCTGAAAAACATTTTCAGCCATGTAGGGTGAGCATAATGCCCAGTAGGAAATATTTCAAAAACTAAATATGCTCCAACAATGCAAATGATCATGAATGCAATACATACATATGTAATATGCCCAAATGCGTTCTCAAATCCACTTGTGCTCTCAATAAAAACTCTGTCTTCCTAGTCTTCAAAACCTTTCGTTTATTCAAAACGTTTTTTGAATTCAATACATTAGTTTGATATAAAATCTATTTCCATAAGTCAATCCAGGTATCTCAATACTAACTAGCAATTTCATTGCCAATTCCAATATGAATACATCGTTAACCAACAACAATTACATTGCTAAGACCATTTTAAAATCATTTCTTTTCAAAACCAAAATGATAATAAATAAAATGGCCAAATAATACAACCCTTCATGGAAATTTCATCCACGGGAAATCGTCAAACGGGACCCATGTAAACGTGGGCTATACAAGCACTACCATTGCCATTTTACAGAAATTTTGTCCATGGGATCGGCACCTATGTACATGCGCGGTTTTTAGGATTTTCACCCTGGACACACATGCCAACTTAATTGATATAGCAACAAACTTTTCCTAGATTCATTATTTTATTTATCCTTTCCAAATAACATAATACATGTGGTTCAAAATATTATTTTTTCAAAACAATGCAAATGTTCAAAAACATAATGCGAGAATTTCCAAAAACCTCTTTCCAAATCATACAGTTTAAATTTTCAAAATCCATTACGTGTTCTATGATATGCATGATATATAAACAGTCCAGTTTGTCTAATTCGCATGTAATTTCTACAACAATCTTAGCTATCCTCCACCGATAGCCCAAAATAGATATCTCTAAACAGATAAGTAAATTCCATTAAAGATACACTTTTTCAAAATCTCAAATAGGAGTGATAATATATATCCAACTCCACCATCATCATTAATCTTCATTTCAATTTCACATTACTCAACATTTATCCCATTTCCTGTTTACAATCTCAACAATTACATTTTAGGGCATAACCCCATATTGAAAATCCATTTCAATGCAAGAAATAGCCCATTTCAACATATATCAATTCCAATTTCATAATCACAACTTTTTTCAAGAAAACATTTGGAAACCCCTCTTTTACATTTTGATTTAATAATCCAACAATTTTCCAAAAAGATCAACATTTTAGGGTTTCTCCAAATTAGGACTTTTTACTTTTAAAAACTCATATACATTTTTTGTAAGTGGAAAATTAACTTTTTGTACCTAAACCATAGCTCAACAATAGCATTTGGAACAAACCCTTACTTACAAAACAAATTTCCAAAAATCAATCCAAGAACAATGGAATCTGTATATTTAAAATACACCACAAATACACTACCAAACTCAAATTGAGTTTAAGAAATAGATCCTACCTCCTGAAGCAAGAAGGAAATAAGTCGGAAAAATCACCGATGGTGAAACGACAATCCGTTGGGATTAAATGGAAACGCTCGTCGTGCTCTACGTTTTGGTATATGGAATTAGGGATCAAAGATGTGTAGAAATAGATGAAATGAAGGCTAAAAAGCATGAGAAAGCAAAAATGGTGGAAGGAGAGAGAGAATTGAGTGAAAAGTGAAGAGGTTTGACCTAAAGTGACTTTTAAAGATCTAATTCTGCGCAGTACGCTCGAGCATTGAAAGTTGCGCTCGAGCATATTATGCTCACATCACAGATTAACAAAGTTTAAACAGGTATAACTCTCTCATCTGACTCCATTTAGGGTTGTTCTTGTGTCCAAATTGAAGCCCCAGAAGTAAGCTTTCCAATGGGTTTAGCCTTACATCAAGATTCAAAGTGTGGAGAGAGAAAATGATAAAAAAAAAATGAAGACTACTTAATAACAACTATTTGAATTTGGAGTTTTTGATTCAATCTCATGCAACCACTATGGTAACATCTCAACCAAGGCTCAAACATCGACTAAAAAGGTTCCCAAATAAGATAATCAAAGAGTCAAATAAAATTCTATTATAAAATTAATCACATAGTGCTGTAAGCGACTAAAAAATTGATAGCCAAAAAGAAGTGCCACATTTTTAACGACTAAATACTTAGTCGCTAAAACAAAAAAGCACATTTATTGAAAACTTTTGGTGACAAAAAAACTAGTTGCCAATTAAAGACTTTCGGGGACTAAATAATTTTTAGTCGCCCATAGCACCACCACCATTTAGCTAACAAACAATCGTTAACCAACCTTAATTTCCTTATTCTCAGACCCCATTGCACTTGCTTTTTGTAACCTCCTCCCATTTTATTAGATGTAACTTCTTTTTTTTACCTTTGATCCTCCCCACAAAAATGTGGCTTGAATCTTGTCTAATACTCTTGTTACACTCTTAGGCATTTTACAAACTGAGAAATAATAGATAGGTAAAGATGACAACATTGCTTTAACAAGTGCTAATCTACCTCCAAACGATAGAAACTTTCTTTTCCAAGAGGCTAATTTTTCCTTGAACTTGTTAATCATAGGCAAACAAATACTCTTCCTGCTTAGACTTGCACCAAGAGGTAACCCAAGATACATAAAATGTAACTTTTGGCACCTGCAGTTCAATTGTTTTGCAAAATTTCCCCCACATCATCATTAACCCCTACCCAATATACATGCCTTTTATGAAAGTTGATCTTCAAACCAGATATCACTTCAAAGTACCGCAAGATCCTTTTTATATTTTGAATTTCATGTCCATCTGCCCCATTGAATACTATTGTATCATCTACAAATTGTAGGTGATTGACATTGACTTCCCTATGACATATCACAACTCTTTTTATGAGACCCAGTGATTTATCTCTTTGGAAAAACATGTTCAGACCTTTAGCCACAATGTTGGAAAGAAAAGGTGACAATGGATCCCCTTGTCTAAGGTCTTTTCTAGATTAAACTTAGCAGTAGGGGATCCACTAATAAGGACTAAAATCCTTGCTGATGATAAGCATTCTTTCATCCATTCCACTTATCATGGAAACCAAACCTTGACATTAAATCAAAAAGGAACTCCCAATTTACTGTGTCATAAGCCTTTCCAATATCTAATTTAATAATCATCATTTTTTCCGTCCTTTTCTTCCACCAATCACTATCTCATTGGATATCAACACCCTATCCAAAATGTTCTTTCCACCAATGAAAGCAGATTGAGCTTCAACTACAATTCTATGTAAAACCTTCTTAAGTCTATTAGCAAGAACTTTAGATAAGATCTTATACAGAGATCCATTGAGACTAATTGGCCTATAATCAGCAACTCCACCTAGGTTCTCCATCTTAGGAATTAATGTTATGAACGAACTATTAAATCCTTTAGCCAAGCATCTATTATCATGAAACTCTTTGGAAATTTTTAGAATATCTCCTTAAAACACTTTCCAACATTGATGGAAACACAACATATTAAAGCGATTAGGCCCCAATGCTTTGTTACCATCTCTTTCTCTCACTGCTTTCCATATTTCTTCTTTTGAAAAGGGTTCTACCAACCGAATAGAATCTTGATCATTTCCAATGTGGTTGAAATCACCATGTAATTTGGGTCTAGATTTCTGATCTTCAGCAAATCTTCTTTGAAAGTAATTGAGCACCTAAAGCTTTACCCTCTGTGGCTTTTCATGTATCTCCTCATCCACGTCAATTGAGTTCAACAAATTTCTATTTTGACGACTAGTGGTTGCCATATGGAAAAATCTTGCATTTTTATCTCTTTTAATGCTCCAATTCATTCTGGATTTTTGTAGCCATAACCACTCCTCTCTTCCACTAAGTAACCAAACCTTCTTTCTTACTTCTCTTTTTCTCTTTATCTCCTCTTCATCAAGGATTTTAGATTCTTCCACTAAAACAATGGCATAGAGCTCCTCTTCAACAGCCTTTAAAGTAGCAGAGACATTCCGAAAAACCTCACTGTTCCACCTTGTAGACGTCCCCGAACGTCCCGGGAGGAAATCCGCCATTCTGTTCGTTTGGGCTCATTACAGTTCAGGACTCAATGTCACGGTCCTGTATCTAATCTTACAGAGTGCAATGCAAGACCGATGAAATCATCAAAGAGTCCAAATCCGACAAATCGTTTTAAAAATAGATTTTTTGAAAGAAGTGCCAAACATGGACTGCTTTGCCAGATACAGAGTCGCCACCTAAATATTTATTTTGGGAGAATTTAGGAAACCCTGACTCGTTGCCTAAGGCCACGTGTCCGTCATCACCAAAGTTGCCTCGGCTCGGGAACTTGGGTACGATTGGGGAAGGTCACTTCGTGAGCACCCCCGCTCGCCCGATCAAAGATCGGCCTCTACTAACCATGATATCTAGTTTTGAAAACATTATGCGTTCTGATTTCGGTTATTAGCCTAGATTTACTAT